TGAAGGCCCATATATAGCTGTCTAACTTTTTGAGGAGCAGCAAAAGGGCAGTAATACACCTGAAGGTCATCTGAGTCTTTCTAATACACTGTGATAGTTGGAACAATTGTTAAATAGAGGAAAAATTGAGTTCTGGGGTTAACTTATGTCAGCACTCAAAGCAAAGAGATTTTCCTATGTTTCTGGTTAGGATCAGTTGTGTAGGTTTTCTTGCAGCGTGTATCTCAAGCACTGCAACAGATTGTAGGTGCGTGTCCAGATTGCATTAACAATTCCCTTTTATAACTGCAAGCAAAGTTTATTCCGAAGTTATAAAGGTTACCCTAGTAATAGCACAACGGGTTGACATGACATATAACCATGACCTATTTTATAGTTCTCTTCAAAGATTTTTAATATTCATCAGAGAAGGTCAGGGAAGTGAGTACTTTATTTACTCAGTGAAAGCTTTTAAAATAGCTATATTAAAATTTTTATATATGTCTATGATTTTAATTTATTACCCTTTCTTGTTATTTCTCAAATATATTGTGTTCTGAATGCTGTTGACAGAGTGACAACATTTAATTGTACCACAAGGCTTTATTTATGGTTAAACCATTTCAAAAGGGAAAAATAAAAATAGTTTTTTCTCAAGTGTAGCTCTGAAACTAAATTTGACCTGGCTGTGCGAAGAAACCTTCTTTATTTAGCATGCTTGGGCAAGCAGCACTCTGTCTCCTGAGAGATTAACATTGTAAGCAAGTTATGCAGGTGACTCAAATCCAGTTAATCTCACATAAAGAATGTTAATTGCATTGGCAATGACATTCACTCTGATCACTTTATAGCTGTATAATTAGCTATTGGACTTATTCAAGGGGCTGTCTGAGTGATACAAATACAGGAAACGACATGAGAGATAACTTCTTGTTTCCTGATTCACACTGTGCAAAATGTAGAGATGACAGAAAAATGGAAATAGCAGTTATTGGTATTTTCATGTCCTTGCTAACTGGCATCTGTACTTACATAGCTACTTCTTTTCTAGCAAATTCTTAACTGTTTTGGAAAATACACAGTTTGAGAAGCTAATCTGAAACAAACATCTATGTATACTCCTAAATTGCCTTGATGTAAAATCAAGTGATTTACCTAATGACCTTTGGGCCATTTAGTGTCTCATCAGCTGGGTTCTCCTCAAAATGTGACAGGAATTTATTTTCTCATCTCCTGTATAGAAGCATTTACAGCCACAAGTAGCCATTTCATAAATATGCATACATTAGTTTCTTAGCTGTTTACAGGCAGCTTTTATAAACATGGTCTAAAACAATTTTTGTATGCAGACCAAGTCAACATACAAACACATGCAGAGTTGTTCAGTTCAGTGTGGATGAACCAGGACCTCTAATTCACTTACGAGGATGCTGATCTGGATCTAAATTTCTTTGTTTAGGATCATCTCTTGAAAAATAAATACCAAAATGTAGAGCGTACTGTGTATGAGCTCAGAGCAGGGATTGGCATGAGCTCTTAGGAGAAAAGTTGTGAATGAGATAACCTTGCAAATTTACAGTTGTTAAAATATTCCCTTCTAAGTCCACATAATTACGGACAGGCTAAGTACATTGCTTAGCATTAAGGTTAACAACCAATGCTTTTGTTACTTTGTCCAGTTTTAATAAGTTTGTCAAACTAAAAGGCTTTATCCAAAATTTTCCATGCCTGATTGGAAAACTGATTTTTATTTTTTTTTTTAATTCCAAAAATAATTAATTATTCTCTAAGAATGTTGAAGTTCCTGCAGTTTGGAGGTAGAAGGGATAATTGGAGGGAAATGGGGAAGGATTTGAATGAGAAGAATGGAGGAAGCTTTTTGTCCTGAGAAATGCAGGTTCCTCATATTGAATAACAGGGACCTAAAATTTTATGGGAAATAGCTACACTATGCCAGAGATGTAATTCTTTGCTTGTTGTCCTGGTTGGGGCTGGCCTAGAGTTCCCGTTGGTCTGGCAGCGGGAGGAGCTGCAGCACCCTGAGACCCCAGGGGCTCCCCAGGTCCCAGTGCCCTCACCTGTGTGCGGGGGCAGGGGGAGCACAGCTGGAAGGCTGGGCCCCGATTGGCCGATAGTCCCTGTCACGTGACATTGTGCTCCCTGTATAAAGGCAGGAGGGGTCTGGGAGGTGGGTTCTCACTTGTGGGAGTGTTGTTGTGAGGTTGTGTTTGGGATTGCGGGCCGGGAGCAGGTGGGTGTCAGTCTGCAGGTGGTGGGCAGCTGTATTGTACATTACACATTTATACTGTTATCGTATTATTCTGTTACTGTGATTAAGCTGTTTTTATCTCAACCTGCGAGTCTCCCTTTGCCCCTCCGATTCCCTCCCCATTCCCAAGTGGGGGGAGGGTGGGTGAGCAACTGTGTGGCGTTTAGCTGCTGACCAGGCTCAAACCACAACACTTGTCCAAAGAATTTTCACTAAAGTTAGCCAGTTATGCACCTCTCTCTCAAAAAAAAAAAAAAAAAAAAAAAAAATTAATTTATTCATACTCCAAAGACATGAGGTAGAACACAAGTCTGAACAGCATTTTCCTGCACTCTGCTGGGATGATGCTTGGTTACTTCAACTGATTTTTCTTGTGTTAATAATATTGTGGATGAGCTGTATCTGGGTGGCACAGAGAAAACAGCTCCAGTTCAAGTGTAGTTCACAGTGGAGAAGAGTCAGTTTGCTATGAGGTATGAAGAAGTGAGAGGCATGGATAGTTGGAAAGGAGACCAGACTTGTGAACTTGCTGGGTTCCAGCTGTGACAAGCAATATTCTGGGCTAGGAGGAGACAAATCAGCTAAAGAAGCAGTTGGAAGGAGCTGCCACAGCCAGTGGGTGGAATGGAGAGGGACTGAGACTCTGGTAATGACACATAGGTGAGCGTAGGAGCAAACCTAGCTGGAGATCGGGAAGGATCAGGAGACCACATGCACAGGGAAGGAAAAATCTGACGAAGCACACTTAGGACAAGGAGCGGTAGTGAAGGTTATATGTGGCTTATACACATATATGAAACAGGGAATGAAGACTGAGGTGTCCAGATGCACAGAGAGACTAGAAGTGAATTTACTTGCCCAAACACTGCTGAAACCTGCAGGTCCTCAGCAGGCTAGGAATAGGACAAAAGCAATGACTTGGGAGAAATGGGGAGATGAATCTCTGCCCGTTAGACATGTTTTTATCTCTAGCATCTGGAAAAGGGCTATAGATTCTTGAGCGTGTCTATTCTTCTGCTGACAAAATACGTTTTTCCCTGCCAATAGTTCCCCCTGCTAGTTTTCTAGAATTCCTATGTGATGCTGTCACTCATTTGCATAATTATTAACAGGTGGTTTTGTGTTCCTTATTTTCTGACTTAATATTCTGATTTGTAAAAGTGGTGAACATTTTATCGGCTACAACTGAATTCAGTGGAGGCTGTTTTGAATACACAAAATTAATGCTGAAGTCTCACAAAAAAAAGGCAGTTTTGCATCTCAGGTTGAGCGTTGAGATTTATCAGGTATTTTTTACCTTGCCTTCTTAGATCTCCATCGCACCTCAGAGAGAAGCTATGAAAATAACTGAATTGTTAATGAAGCATTAAGATAGGTGTAATGGAGGTCATGAGGAAATTAATAATTCTGCCTTTGAAGTGAAGTTTGAGTAGTATGACAGAAGGCCACCCACTAAATGGTACAACTAAAGCAAAATATTAAACACCTGCTCATTAAATGAATACCAACAACCTGGAGATGTTTGGGGAAAAAGTAGTATGTGATCATGTAATTGCAACCAGTCCCATAGGGCATAAACAGAAAGGGAGTGATTAAAGGGCACACAGGCAGCCTTAGTTCTGGCACTGAGTTGCTGCATGCTTGATTTTGCAACCTTATTAATGTTCTTTTAATGTGTTGGGGTTTTTTTACTATTTGGATATAATAAACATGGATAGTCAACCCATAAACTCAGCTCTGTAGTTATCAAGACAAACTGCCTGAGTCAGAATCTGGTATTGCCTACATCTGTGTGAATTTTGAATATTTTTTCAAGTGACATCATACCCTTCAACTGGCTAAGTATAAAATGTGAAATGTAGTGTGTAACCAGTTTTAAATGTCTTTATAACCATTCTCTGTCTTGAGTGGAAATGCCTCTTCACATAAATCCAGTCTTACAATGGTTTGGCTCTATAATAAATAATTTATAATAAAAGTGTGGTATGGATAGGAGAGGACAGAACAAAATTTATGCAGTCCAAAGGCAACTTGGAAACTAATCCCAGTGACATCCTTTCAAATGAAATTACCGGTACTTTGAGTTTGTACCAGTATAACTGAGATCAGATTGTGGCTCTGCATCTGGATTTTAAGCAGGCCTGTACAACATTATGATGATTAATGATGTTTGTAGTCATGCAGGCTAACATAACAAGAGTAAACAGAACTTATTATTCAGATCTTAATTTAGTTTTCCTTGGTGAGGTTAGCGATGGGGATCAGGGAAGCTCTGACCTCTGAATGGTAGTCCACAGTTGGCTGAGGTGCATAACATGGAGTTTACATTTCCCTCCGAAGCATCAAGATATTGATTATTGCCATGGGCAGCTCATATACCGATAGAGCTTGCAGGAGCTTTTAGATCATGCTCTGTGTATGCAGGGGTGCAGAGCCAAAACGGTCACGCGGAAGGGCATGGCCTTGGAGGCCTCTCCGCTGGCGCGGCAGCTGGGCGGTCAGTGCCAGCACTGGCTTCTGTCTGGTGGCACTCGGCTCTTGCGTGCGGGCCGGATGCAACAGCCCCTGCCTCCCCAGCCTGGGAGTCGCCTTCTGGGCTCTTTGTGCACATCATCAGTTCCACTTGTCTGAATTTGTGGAGCTCAGCCTCCTTTCTCCATTCTCTGAATCAGTAAGCAAAAAGATGCTGAGAAGTCAAACATGTTAATTTCAACCCTCTGACTCACTAAGGAATTTTAATGTCTCTTTCAAGAACGGCCCACGTTTCTCAGGCGACCGATTAACCAAGTGGTGCTGGAGGAGGAGGCTGTGGATTTCCGGTGCCAGGTGCAGGGGGATCCCACACCCACAGTCCGGTGGAGGAAAGATGATGCAGACCTACCAAGAGGAAGGTGAGAGCAACATTCATGTTCCCCGCACTTTCAGCTTTCAGTTGTTGAGTAATGCTGGAATCACTCCCTACTTCTTATGGTTTGTTATTTGACATTATGGACAAGATTTATTTCCTATATTGCCAGTCTTTGGCGCTACAAAATCTGTTCCAGAGCCAGCTGAGCAGGGAAACCCAGTCTGGGTTGAATTGTCCAGGTGTTGGATTCCTGTGGAAGGAAGAAAAGTGATACGCAGGTATTGTGAGCACATTGGGTATTCACTGAATTTGCTGGAGAAACTAAAGATGTTTTAGGAATGTACTAGTGATAGTAGTCTTCATAATAACATGCTGATACCAAAAGGGAGAAAACTTGGCTGGAGAGTTGCAGAGCAACTCCATTGCACTAGCAGGATGAATTAGAAGCATCATGCTGTGGTGGGCTTTGCTGGCTCCTTGGCTCATGTTTTAGTCTCAAAGAAACCTTCCTTTTGAGGAAATAAAAATGCAAACTAGCAGAAGTAGAAAACAAAGTTGAAATCTGGAACAGGTACCTTGTGTTCAAGAAAAATTCATTTAGTCTAGAACAAATGCAGACAAAATTCCAGAGTGAGCAAGGGGATGAGAGTCTGTCCTATAAAAGGACATTAAATTATCTTAGCTCCTTTCAGCTAACAGAACAGAGTTTGATGCTTGCTTTCTGGAAGTCTTTCTAGTTTTGATGTTGAATCATTATTAGATTTAAAAATATTAACACAGAAATAGGTCCAGGAATAGGAATGAGAACCTCTCTATAACCCAGCAAGTCCTAGCCCTGTGAGTCCTGATTCATTTTTGCACAGTGTGTTTAATTTCAACAGGGGACATGAATAGTGCCTTTTTTTTCCCCCCACCACAGCTGATTGTGCTTTTCCATCAGTGTTGCTTATTCCTGGGATTTTGCTGATGGAATTTGAAGAAAGGACAAAATAAAATCTGTAACTTCTGTTCTTCAAACAAGTGTTTTAAATACTGGACTTAATGTAGTCTGGCTGCCAGTGTTATTTCTACTCTTTCAGTCATGACCTTAAAAGACAAGCAGCTGCAGTGGTGTTTGTGACTGGTTTGTGTGTACTGTGAGCACACTACTAGACTGGGCCTAACTGAAACAAGTGAGATATTGCTGTCTGCTTTCTTTATCACATTATGTTTTACTTCTTCAACCCAACAAGGTGAAAAATGTAGTAAGACTGTTACCTGGCAATCTTGGATCAATGTTTTTTTTTTTTTTTGTCAATTTCTAAATCTTTAAGAAAATCCCCAAACTCAAATTGGAGAATACTTGTTTTAGTTTCCACATCCTCAACTCTGTAAGTTGTATTACAATTTTTCGGTTAAATATATTAATGTAATGACATATAATCTAGAAAAATTTTTTCTATATAAATACAGATACATGTGTATATATATATAAATACTTATATTTTATAATGCATTTCCTTGCAATTTAAATTTAAAAATGACATAACTTTTTTTGCTAATTATATTAATAGATGTGTGTGCATGTAATACATAAAATACTTTGAAGAGCAGACTTTTGGATGGCGGGATGACTTTTTGCTTGCTATTTAAATATGTATCATAGAGTAGTTCATATGTTCTTACAGCTGTGCTACTTCTATTGTTTTAAATCATGTCTACTTCTAGGTCTCATAAGCAGAAGTAGTAGATGATGAACCAACAGTGCCTTTGATTAGGTTGTACTTTCATTAAGGTTTTTTTGATTACTATGTTCCTTCTTTTTCTTTTATATCTTATTGTGAAAAGCATAGTACTATGTGCTTTGAGGTATTTTTTTCTGTTCATTCATGATTCATTTCACAAAGAAGAAATGTAACAGGAAGCATAGGAAGTTTTCACTGGGTTTTTAACTAAAAGAGAAAGTTAATCATATACATTCTGATCATAATCACCTTCAGTCTCCAAAACTACTCACAGTGTTTTGCAGTGTTTTTAGTTACACTGCTATTTAACATTTTATTAACTGTGTTTTGGCATCTTAAAACAGAAAGTGGGGGTATGCCTTCATTTATGTCTGCTTCCCAGAGCATCAGAAGGGTGGGTAGAGAAGGGTCAAGGTTGCAAAATCTTATGTTGGAGACCATTTCGGGTGATAGAGAACTACCAGTGCCCCTGCCCATGTAGTGAGTTACCACATCCTGAGCCACATGGATTGTGTTTATCTAGTAGAGTCCAACATCTACACTTTGTCTTCACTGTACAAAAAGTGAAAATTTCCAAACCATGCTGCATGATGCTTAATCAAGGACAAGAAACTTGAAATATCTGAAAGAAAAGCTCTTGGGGTTTTTTTTATTTTTTTAGTGGAAGCAAAGAAATTTGCCCAGGTATTGTCTAAATGACTGGATGGATGGATGAGAAAATTATAATATAGCAATTTTGTAAATTAAGAAGAGAATTTCTAAGTTTTTCCTCCTTCATGAAGTAAGAGATTTTTTTTTCTTTTTTGAGGTAAAACTGAAATTAACTTTCAGCTTCTGAGCTGAAATGTATTTTAAGCATTTTAACATCTACTGTGAAATATAAAACCTTCAAGGAATTCCCTTTGTTATTCTTCCTACATGCATAAATCCTTCTGAGCAGATCTGTGCAGCTATTTGTCTTATAGCTTTCAATATCAATTTCCTGTTCCTACAGCTAACAGTGTTCTTTGCACTTCTGTCTGTTTTTGTTATTTCAATAATTTCCTTTTAACTTCATCTCTAGATTGCAAGACAATTATAGTAGGTACCTGTTTCAGCAATTACTGAAAATTTTTAAATGTGTATATTGTTAGTTCATCTTTCAAAAGTATCTAGTTCAGTGATAGCAAAGTGGGATAAACTGAATTTTCATATCCAATTTGCTTCTGTAATTTGCTTCTGCTGAATGCTGGAGTCAGTGTTACTGGATCCATAGTCTTTCAGAAATCCTCTGTTTTTCCATCATACTTCCTCTTAGCTTTTATAGTGACACATGTGAAAGCAAAGAGAAAAGTAATCACGGTAATTTCTGGTGACAAATATAAACAGTATTGCTGCACCAATTGGTGTGTTGAGTAATAATTGGAAAATAATTTCAGGCTGTTACAGTTTTAATTATAAAGGTCCCTGGTGAACATCTCCATTTGCAATTGGATTGAATGAGGAAAAAAAAGCAAATTCTAAAGAAATTATTATGCTTGAAAATATGACTTTAAAAAAAATTAACTTGGCCATTTTGTTAAATTGTCTATGTAATTACCCAGAAATTTATGAATAACCATGCTTTAAAACTGAGAACAGGTGGACATAAGTTTATTCTGAGGGTGCAAATCTTCATTCCAAATTTTAGCTATTTTGAATTGATGATCTAAACCAACTATGTTGGTCTATATATTGAATTTAAAACCTTAAAGTGGTTTTTATAGTGGAAGTTTTTGAAATGCCTAGGAAAAATATGTCCCACTAGCAGTCAAAGGAAGTTACGTGTCCAAAATCCTCTAGACTTGACTTGAGATTTCAGTCTGTGGTACCCATCATGGAGCTCTTCTGTGTATGACTGGGCAGGAATTAAGAAAACGATAAGAAAGACCAGGTGGAAACAGTTTTGTAATGTATGTCTGGTAACTGTTTTCATAGTTCTTTTATTTTTTTTTTGTGATAATGAATCAATTAAATTCTTCAGACTTGGAAATTCTTTTTTAGAGCCTAAATCAATCCCAGCAAATTAATAACTTGCTATTAAAAATGTTGACACTGCACCAATGGGGAGAAACAAAGTACAATGTGAAATCTGGGCTGTGTAAAGCTTTTTTCCATAAGCTGTCCATTTTGAATCAGTGACCCAAGACTGAAATGCATTGTGAATCAGTAGTAGAGGTGCATGGTGTATATTTTATTGTAATTGCTCTGAAAATTCAGCATCACACCATAGCTTCCACAGTACACAAAGGCTAGGGAATAGTTGATCAAGTATGACTCACATCAAACTACTGGAGGTGAACAGGATATTGTGGGGTCACCAGTCCTATACCTTTGGCTGAATATTAGGTTCACTGTTTCATGAATAGAGATTCATTATAAGTGACACGAGGAAATGGCACAAAAATTGTACTAAAGTGAGTCAGATAACTGTGGCCATGCATAATGACCAGGACCTATTGAAAATTAAATAAAAATTGTATTTATACATTGAAGTCTTTTTTCAGCCATGTGTTCAGGTATCTTTCCCTATGATGTCTGCTTGGCAGAAATAGAGATTATGCTTTCCTGCTAAGGAGCTGATGGTCTCCTGTGTGGTGAGGAACTCAATATGCCCTGGATCAACTTTTGATTCATCTGCTTCTTAGTCCTGATAACAGGAAGAAAGCAGTATTACTTGAGAGCCTCCAGTATGAGAGTGGCATATCTACGACTAGCAATTTAATAAAATTTGAATAAGGTTTGTACAGTGTTTCATGTCTTCAAATTTTCTAGTGAAGCCAAAGAGAGCAGCTGCATAGTCTGTAATTACATAGCAAGTAATACAGATTTTTTTTTTTTAGGAAGTGAAGAGATTTTCAATTACAAGTTAAAATTTATGACACACTATAATAACTGTTTAAACCTTTTACACAGAAGAAGATAGCAGTGCCAGCTCTTTGGGAGAGTGAGGTTAGCTCAGCAAATGTATTTTTCAGTTGCCTTAAAAATGACTGAGTAGCAATCACATGGGCCTTTTTTTTTGTATTCCAGCCCAGAACAGCTGGTTTAGCTCAGTAAATACATCTTTAATGAAATTACAACCTGCTCTTGTAAGTTGCATTTACAGGCACTGATTAGATGAATATTGTACTAGAGATGAAAAGTGGCAACTGCACCAGCAGGAAGAGGTATTTGTTTTACATGCCACCCACACAATGGGAGTGTAGGCTGAAAACCCAAGAGTGATGCTTCAGAACAAAAATGGTGTGTAGTTTACACAAAGTATATTGCTAAGTGTTAAGAGATTGTACATTATTAA